TGCAAGAGAAGACCCTGAGGCAGTTCAGATTGAGGCTGTGAAGCAGATCAGTCTGGGATCTTGCGGACTTGAAAATACTCCAGCAGAAGTTGTAGCATATCGCTATTGGGTATGTTTATTGTTTTTGCAACCCTTTTTTATTTGATATGATATATGATTCCTTCACTCAAATATTGGTATTTAAGCGAATTCCATCATTTTGCTATATGTGAATACTAAATGGTATGAATACCCAGTGTTGTTGCCAATTTGTCATGTTCAATTGAGTGACCAGAGCCTGGTCAAATGGCGTGTGATTTTGAGGTTTTGTTTTGAACTCTATTGTTTTCAACTTAGCACTTAAATTAGTTATATCACGACCTTGATACCGAAGTCGTTTCTTAAGTTCTTTACTCTTTTTTATTTTTTTTCAAATCGATTTGGAGAGGAGGTAACACTTTGGAACCAAAGGGAATGAAAGAATCCGTGTGATCTATGTCAGGATTGAGTTATGTAAAATCAATAATTCAAGGCCTTCAGGTTTTTACTCAATGGAATGCATATTAAAATTGCATGCAAGATGCCATGCCTCAATTTGTGTGGTTCAACATTTTTGTGCGTTATTCTGCTTACTCTCCTATGGTTTTGAGTTGATTCTTCCTCATCAAAAATCTCACTCTCCTATCTAATTGTAACGATGTTCTTAAACCTTTGCTATTAAAGAATGTCGATGAATTTGGGATAGCCAGTTTTCTCAGGCTGGACATTGTTGCCAGTTAGACACTTTGTGTCCAAGTTTTACTTAATTTTTGTGTATGATGAGTACTCCATGCTTGTAAAATCAAACTTTCTGAATAATGCCTTTTTCTTCTCTAAAGCATGCTGTATCTCATACTATAGATTTCTCAATGCTTCACAGAATTACAATGCTCTTAGCTTTGATGATAAGATCCTGGATGGTTTCTATGATCTATATGGCATCTTGACCAGATCCACTTCATCGAAAATGCCTACCCTTGTTGATCTTCAAAGAACTCATGTATCTGATGGCATAAGGTGGGAAGCCATTCTTGTGAACAGAGCTGCTGACTCCAACCTGTTGAAACTTGAGCAGAGGGCTTTGGAGATAGCTGTTAGTTCAAAATCTGAACCCTTTAACTTTTCAAGCGGTGATTTAGTGCAGAAGCTTTCCGTATTGGTTTCAGACCACATGGGAGGCCCTGTAATGGATCCTGACAATATGTTAATAGCATGGACAAACCTTTGTTATAAATTAAAACAAACCCTCGGAAGCATGGTTTTGCCTCTTGGTTCTTTGACCATTGGATTGGCTCGCCATCGTGCTTTATTGTTCAAGGTATATTGTGCTTTACTAGTCTTTATTCCTTCTTGAAAATGATTGCCATTAACATTTTATTTCTAGAACTCAAGGTTTATATACTCCCTCCGCCCCTATTTTGATTACAAAATGGGAATTACGAGGTAAAATCTCACGATTTTTGAAATCATTTTATTTAAAAAATTCGTACATGAATAAGAAATAAAATTACATGTTAATTAACTACATCAAAAGTTCTACGAAACAAGAGGTGACAAGAATATTTTATTTTATCAAATAATCAATGAAAAAACACAAACAAACAAAAGTTATCGAGAAGAGTGAGAAAATAAAATTGTAATCAAAATGGGGATGGAGGGAGTATAATGAATGAATACCTTTGTCATTATTATTATTATGTCTTGACAAACATGATCAGGTTTTAGCTGATAGCATAGGTGTGCCTTGCCGGCTTGTGAAAGGACAGCAATATACGGGATCTGACGATGTTGCAATGAATTTTGTAAAAATGGATGATGGAAGGTTGGTGTCCTCTTGTCTTTAACTTTATGCACTTTTCTTAATGTAACTGATGGTCGAACGAGGAAATTATCATTTGACCCATATCATATAGCGTGATGGACAAGGCGGATTTTAAAAAATCTGCAGTAACTGCTTCCAAAAATATCTTCTTTTTTATTTTAGCTGATATGTGACTGAGATTCCTGTACCAAGTTGTTGACCTTTGGTTTTCGTAGAATGACAACTTTTCCACTTGAGGTCCTTTGAAACACTTCCTTTTGTGTTTGTGTTTAAAAATCAATGTTCATTCTCTGTTCCAAGCTAAGCATTTTCCCGCTAGGTGAGGCCAGCTATATGAATCAAGTGGCATGTGTTTGGGGTTAGAATCATATCCTCTGTAAGCCCCATACTTAATTGTCTCTGGGCAATTCAACTTGGGTCTTCATCTACCCCCTCTTTATTTTGCAATTCAGTAGTGTCACTCTTTCTAACAGGTATTATGGCCAAACTGTTTCAAACACGTCTCTCTCATCTTGTGCTCATTCAGAGATTCTCCTATTTTTTATGGGAGTATTCAGTAAACTTTAAGATGAAGTTGCTTCTAAAGAATTTCCTGAAGCTTGTTGAAAACATGTTTATTTTACGACAACACATAGCATGGGATTTATGAAAATAGCCAAGTAATGAGTAAAATTACTTAATTTTCAGAGAGTGCATTGTAGATTTGATGGCAGCCCCTGGCGCTCTTATTCCATCTGACACTGCAGCAGGGCAGGCAGGGGAAAATGAAGATTTTCTTTCCAGTATTTCAATTTCCAAAGATGTTGACTCCCCCCAAACAGCATACTCTAGCAGTGGGATTGCCACTTCATCTGAGGAGCACAATAAAAATGACAAGGGGTCCAGGCTG